CACGTCGAATCCCGTCTCATTCAACTGGCGCTTAGCACTGCCCTTTCCGCTCTTTTTCTTCTCCTTGGTTGGCTTCTTTGGTCGGACTTCGCCAGCCACGAAAACGTCGTCAGGGAGTTGGGTGCTAAAATGTTAGCACATGTAATGAAAGATGGGAATCAAAGTCTTACTTGCGAGTGTGAACTACTTTGACGGACATCGTCGCGTCATTGTATAGATTGGACTCGGTAACCTTAGAGCGGAATTGATTCGTTGGATAGGAGATATCGAGTGTACTTCGTTCTTAAAGGTCATTAGTCAAGTCGAGAAACTACTTTTAGGGAAGAAAATACCCTGTGGTAGTCTGAGACCAATGTAAAAGGTTGTTGTGTATATGATGTGGTCTTCAGTAGTGCCTGCCGCAGGTACTTCTGAGGCAGGTATGATATAATCGAGGCTGCCTTTGGTGACAGCGTCCACCTGATCTTCGTTTTTGCATTTATGGACACGCTCTATACCCTCGGTGAAAGGGCGGGCAACATCAATGCCAGTTTGTCCATCATCGATGCCCTGGACGAGGATACGGACCTTTGACTGCACTAGTCCGTGAAAGGTGAGATCAGCTTCCTTGGTGCGACTTGCTGCAATCACACTAAGGTAGTATTTGTGATCCTTTGTGAAGAATGAGTGGCGGTCAAACAGGGTGTTCCAGGATTTGTGACCTGCAAAGACATCGCGCACGATACCATCAGCCCGCACAAACTCCTCCATCATGATCTGCTTAGTCGACGTTGTTATCGTATGGGTTGAACACATGGCGGGAAACGCAGGTGTGATGACAGGCATGAGATGTCGCGCGTCTCCGCTATAGACCTAAAAGAATGAGCTTAAGTATGTTCAAGGAGGGAATAGGCTTACGGCTGGATTCCACACACGAAGACTGTATTCGGGAAGCTCATGGTCTTTCAGCATAACAGGTCGCGGCCAATTCCACTTATGCATGAGGTTGAAGAACTTGGCGAGGATAGTAGCGCCACAGGCCATAGGATAGAGCTGGCAAATACGAGCGACCATAATAGCCCAGGCAATTCCACCAGGATAGCCAAAGACTGCACCATATATACCACGACGATTTGCCCAGAGCTTGACGGCGCGCAACGCATATCGGAAGTGGCGGCGCTGGGGTACTGAAGCAAGCAACTCTTTGACCACACGGGTTCCATTGACACTCCTTATTGTCGTCTCGTCTAGGTGGCGCAATACAGATTTGTCAACCGTCTCCATTTCCTTGGGGACCGAGGCCAATGTGGGCAAGGAGGCAAATAGCACGTCCAGGCTAACCCCTCGATATTCCATCTTGATAATTGGAACAAAAGCATCTTCGACAGGGACAAGTTCGGTAATGTCTTCGGCGTTGGAGAGCTCTCGGAAGACAGATGGGAATTCTCTAAAGAAATCTTCAATAAAAACATGCTTTGGCACAGTAACGAGTGTGTCGATATCCGAGGTTGGGCCATGAACACCGAGGGCGTAACTGCCAAAGAAGAAGATCTTGCCGCCTGCAGCATCCAGCACGGATTGCTTGACACCCTTCAACTTTCCAGCTCTGCGGACAAATTCCTCGACTACTTTTTGCACATGAGCCAGCACTTCTTCTCGCCGCTTGTTGCCTTCCGGGGTTTCAAAGACATTCTCGCTCGTCAATGTCTCGATGAGGTCATCGTTCAGCTTGTTATCTGCCGCTGTAGGAGGAGCATCGGATATGGCAGCAGTGATACCCCATGTGGGTTTCTTCTTCTTGTCATCCATGACGCTTGGTCAGGCGAGCGATGAAGTTGAGCCGTTGTGCGGGTTCCGAGGTCCTGAAAGCTACCGTCGAGGAATTTGCAGTTGAAGGTGTACGGGTGGAGAGGGTAAAAGTAAAGGTATCAGCGCTCCGACATTGTGATGAGACCTTAGCAGAGTTTGGTCTGGTCGGGGAAGGTTGCAGAACAATAGGACGTTTCGTTGTTGCGCCGGCTTTGGAAACCACTCAGTGCCAAGATGCACGCGCCACTCATGACTTCCTTTCGCGACTCGAGTTCCATGGGACGCGTCAAGCACGCTTACCTAAGCAATATCGTGCCTACTAGTTAACTACACTGCATGATCAGTACCAGCACTCCTTCAAGTCTATGCATGTCTCAGTATCATCATGGCGAATAGACTGCCAGCTCACCTCTCACACACAAGTGCCCTTGCTTTACTCCTACCCTCTGACATCGCTCCGCCAATTGAGGCAATACGCCGCGTGCACGACAAACATTTTGCCCGGTGGCCGCCTCACATAAATCTGCTCTACCCATTCCTTGTATCACCTTCAGAGATTATCAACCAAGGTGAAGAGGCTGTCTCTCCCCAACTACAAGAAAGCATCCGAACACGAATCCAGAAGGCGGTCAAGCCCATCGAACCTTTTCAAGTCTCGTTGCACGCAGATCCACCTGGCGTCTTTTCACATGGAAAGAAAAGCAAAACAGTATGGCTAGGTCCATCTACGCAGAGCATTCAAATTCTCCAGGCAGCCCTACAAGCAGAGTTTTCTGAGTGTGATGCTGATCAGAGACCATTTACGCCTCATTTATCGGTGGGCCAAGCGAGCAGTGATATGGGAGCGCAAAAGCTAAAAGAAGAGATCAAAAGCAGTATCGCAGAGTCTAATGCTCAAGCCGAAGGTGCACCTGTCGCACTGGACTGGTATATTGACAAGGTCTATGTCATTAAACGCGAAGGCTACCATGATCGTTTCAAGGTTATTGGAAGCATAAATCTAGGCAAAGAATGAAAGCAACATCTCAAGGCCCTATTTCTTTCCCTGCTCCTCGATCATTTCTTTAGCTGGCATAGTAGCGAACCTGCTCATCACTTCCAGGTTCTTCTCCTTGCTCATCGATTCATCACTTTTGCTTATTTCAGCTAGAATTCTGAAGTAGTCGATGTAGAATGCAGGAGTATACGTGTTGAAGAATTTGGCTTCTTGGTCGGTTGGATTCGAGAAGGTATGTGGCGCGCGAATGGGGACCGTAACATAGTCTCCCACATGGGCATCGTGGTAGGCACCATCTGGCCCGTGGAACCGTACCATGCCTTGTGTTATTAAGAAGGTCTCATCATGCATTTCATGCCAATGAGCTGGAGGGCCTGTTGTGTTTGGTGGGAGAGTGAACTCGGCAGATCCGATGCGATTGTCTTGCATATGTCAGAAGATGATCGAGAACCCCTCTCGATAGTGTCGTACCTGTCCTTGATCCATCCTCCATGACTCTACAAGTAATATGCCCCAGTTTGAGTATCTCACCCGACTTAGCCGGAACAAATTTGATAGGCCTCCTTGGCATCTTCATTGTCACCAGAGCTTGTCTAGCTTCGTCGTCCATTGTTGTAGTATTGTGACAAGGTCTGAATAAATTGGATAGTAGTGATAGGGTCAGTCAAACTACAAACGGTGACTTTGAAGCAGAGGTTGAAAAATTCGGTTTATAGAAGTTAATAAATATATGGTGATAGTTGAAGAATTCTTGGGGGCTGATTAGCATTGCGGAGAGCCGGTCTGGCGGCACGATTAGTGTGATGTACAGTCATAACTTCTATAAGACTGCGTAGATTGAGAGCAAGTCTACGGTGTTTCAATCATTGGAAAATAAGACAGCCTAAACAATACATAATCCAAAACATTATGACTGCGATCAGACTCCAGTTCCACCTAACCAAAGATGTTGTTGATGCCATGAATACCCCGCGTCGAAGGAAGGCCTAGTGCGGGGAAGCTGTTGTTACGGGTCTCCAAATGCACCTTCCCGTGCATCTATTCTAGGTATATCGTAGGGCGTAGTTTTATTGCCGTAAGCAAACACGTCGCTGCCTAAATTTCAAAAAGTGAAAGAAGGTAAAAGATAAATATGCCATTGACACACACTTACTACTCAACCCACTCGCTTCCACTCTCTCTCGATCTCGTCAAAAATGGCAAAGAAACTCTTCGCAGTCCTCGAGAACAATCCCGAGGTGATGAACCACCTTGCTAGAGCGCTAGGCTTAGATGACAAACTGTCATTTTACGACATCTATTCGCTCACTGACACTGACTTGTTGGCATTCATCCCGCGTCCCGTCTACGCGCTACTTGTCATCATTCCTCTCACACCTGCATGGCACGAGGAACGCGAAGCAGAAGACAAAGACAAGGCCGAATATGCAGGCAAGGGCGACGCTGAACCTGTCATATGGTTCAAGCAGACCATTGGCAATGCGTGCGGCAGCATTGGTCTTGTGCACAGCCTTCTGAATAGCGACGCCTCAGCACATATCCAAAGTGGTTCCGTGCTGGACCAAATTCGCAAAGATGCTCTACCCAAAGCTATCTGGGAGAGGGCTCAGGTCCTGGAGGACTCGGATGAGTTTGAGAAGGCTCATGCGGAAGCTGTGCAGCTGGGTGACACCGCTGCACCCACACCAATATCCGATGAGCACGCTGGACAGCATTTTGTTGCGTTTGTAAAGGCAAAGGATGGCCATTTGTGGGAATTAGAAGGCTCCCGAAAGGGTCCACTGGATCGAGGGGTGTTGGAGGACGACGAGGATGTGCTGAGTCCTTCAGCTTTAGACAAGGGTCTGGGCAGGTTGATGAGGAATGAGTCGGAGAAAGGCGGTGATTTGAGGTTCTCCGCAATTGCGCTTGCCAAAAGTCTTGACTGAGCGAGTGTATCGCGATTGAACTCAAAGGACCAGTGGCTCTCAAGAAGATATGCCAGTGTAAATAACCCCATCTTATACCTTTGGGTGCTCAAAGTTTGATATGGTGTGGAAATGTTTGCAACTACTTGTGCGACCTTAGTTCCAGATTGCGTGTCAGGGCAAAATTGACGATTGCTTCAGCACACGGCAGTCACTCTATGTTACGAAAAGGCACCAAAAACTTCAAAAAATTATGAAGCTTTCTTCGAAGTCCATGGGGCCTGTTATATCGTTAGATGGCGATATCTAAGATCAATGGGTTTGAACATACTCGAACCCACAACCTTTGGTGAACAGGCACAGAACCGAAAACCAACGCGCTACCATTGCGCCAAGACTCCTGAATGTGCTTTGATAAAAGAAATGGAGAAAAACAGCATTTATATACTACAGATTTTCTGTAAATTTGAGAAAATAAAGGAATAGCCTACAATTTCGACATATCTTGCGAACACTGCGTGCGGTTGTGTGAGGCATCGGTACAGTAAATAGTGGGGTAGTGGGGCTAGGAAAGTAAACTGACCACAATCAAGTCAACCAGAAGATGGCGAGAGCCTTGAAACGTGGTGAAGCTAATTATTGAAATTTTGGTCAAGCTTATCCCTAATTGAGTGGAAACCAAAGTGCGAATTTGCGAGCAAAATTTACTGAACTTTGTTTATTTCGCCAGGGCCCTCAATATTTCCAAGGTTACGTCATTGATCCCTAGCTTGTTTATACAACCGCTTTACGGCTTGCAAACTCAAGCTATGGGCATAGGACAACCTCTAGGAGCATCTATGGATACTATGTTGTTTACTTGTGCACTGGCAAGGATTCCCTCGCCACTCTGATGCCCATGTCATCACAGCGTCCCCACTTCAACATCACATCTTGCCTGCTTTCTGGAATTTCTTCCTATCGATTTTACTTCGCTAACAGAGTATTAGCAACGCTCTGCATTGTCCATTAGAGCTTGAATATCTCCACAAAATGCTTGAAATTTCCTGAAGGGCCACCGAAATTCCCATGAATACAGCTCCTAACGAGGTATGGGATATATGCCAACGGCACTTATATTTCTCCTACCGCGCAAAGTCACTGCGCCATAGGTATCTTAGAGTAGCTCCTTCAAGCTACTTTCAGTCCCACCTCGTTATCTAGATATCATGGTTACTATCCGATGTGTTATTAATCTTTATAGACCTCGTCATAGTAGGTTTGGTCTACATCATCTCTATAGCTTCTCTTGAGTATTTATATACACTTTCATATGCCTTATTTGCGTTAGAATATTGATTGATAATATACTACTTGTACGTGGTTCAATTTCCCAAGATTAGTGTAGTATAGTCATGGTGTAGAATAAAGAGCAAACAATATGGACCTCATCTAGCTTCAGTTTAGACTCTTTGGTTTCATATATCAGCCTTTCCTTCATCGTTCGAAAGCATTTCATTTGGTCCTAGTATCGTCTGAGATGTCTCTGCAGACTCAGAACGTTTTATTCATTCATTGTTTCGTTCCTCAATTTCATTCATTTTTTCTATAGACGATCTGTACACTAAGTTCATACTAATCAACCCCAATAAGTTGAAGTAGCCATTTCTTACTTTGAGAGTATGGGTCTATGAACCAACTTTTGACGCTTGGTAGGTACCTGTAGTTTGACTCAATATTAAATATCAGGCTGCCAATGAAATGGGGCGAGAAAACCTGAATTGTTAGACGATTGGGGGTGGTATAGACAGCGATAATAAATAGGTTTGGTAACCATTCACAAGGATCATTCTAGACTATCAATCTAATCCATGGAAAAAATCATGTAGGGGGCTACTAAAGCTAGGATTTCGCTCAGCGAATACTGAGAAATAGAATTAGAGCTTCAAACAATAGCCAAGGTCTTCTATCAATTCTTCTTGCGGCTCATTATTACTTTTAAATTATGTTAGATATAAAAACTCTTATGCGAGTGCGAACCACTTATGCAAACTTTGAGGGTTTCGGGGCCGTAGCTGCACCAATTACAAGTGGGTAATCATGGTAGACACTACACCACGTCTGTGTTATATGTTGGAAAAGCCCATCTGATCCTACCACAAATAGATTGTATGAGGAAGCAAAGGAGGTAGCAAACAAATTACATGAAGAAATAAGGGAGGAAGCAAACAGGAGCGTTTGCATAAGGAGAGTAGATTCTTCCTTGGATAGATCTTTGGTGGAATCAGACGATTTATCCAAACCGCGTTATATGGTACAACAATTGTGCAAAGTTGGAGCTATCAAGTTTGCATATGCGTGCATTGGATGTTCAGCCCACTTTTGCCCCACCAGCTACCAATTTGCTGTAGCTCGCTAGTGCCATTATTTACCGAGAAGCAAAGCCTGTATCGGTCTTCTCTCCGTACTTATACATCAACACCGTTGATTGGGATGACTCAAGATACCTTTTAGTCGTATATAACTAGATCGTATCCGTGTTGATACTTCAGTGCTCTCTCCATCGATAGCCTATGAGAACGACTGGCCTAACGCTGCCGCCAAGATGCCAAACAAAGAACAGCATATGCAACTTGTCAGCGCACCCGATGCAAGAGAATTTGTTGAGAAAATCCTAGTAGGAAATGGAGTCCCTACAGAAAACGCAGTTATTGTGGCAAGATGTCTTGTTGAAGCCGATCTCCGAGGCGTGGATACTCATGGCATGAACCGAATTCCTTCCTACATGGCCCGCGTACGAGAAGGCGTACTGCAAGCGGATGCAACACCAACTATGCGCCAAATTACTCCCGCTGTAGCCCAAATTGATGGTCACAATGGCTTTGGTTTCCTGGCAGCAAGTATGGGCATGTCCACCGCAATCGACATGGCAAAAAATATTGGCATTGGCATGGTCTCAATCAAACACTCGAATCATTTTGGCATGTCAGCCTGGGTGGTCCAGCAGGCCCTTGATGCTGGGATGATGAGTTTAGTTTTCACAAATTCTTCTCCGGCCCTTCCTGTATGGGGGGGAAGGTCAAAGCTTATGGGGGTTTCGCCTATTGCCTGTGGAGCCCCAGCTGGGGAGAAGGGCCGACCGTTTATCATGGACATGGCCCCATCTGTCGCCGCACGTGGCAAGATATACAAAGCTTTGCGAAGAGGTGCTAAGATTCCTGAGGACTGGGCACTTGACAAAGATGGACAAAAAACTGACGACCCAGCAAAGGCGCTTGAAGGTGTCATGTTACCAATGGGTGGGCCGAAAGGGTCTGCTATTGCTATTATGATGGATGTATTCTCAGGTGTACTCTCTGGTAGCGCATTTGCAGGGCATGTCACAAATCCCTATGACCCTTCGAAGCCAGCAGATGTCGGTCACTTCCTCGTCGCTATTAAGCCAGATTTATTTATGAGCATTGAGGATTTTAAAGAGCGGATGGACTATCTGTACCAACGCGTTGTTGGCTCTGACAAGATGGCAGGCGTCAACCGAATATATTTTCCTGGCGAAATTGAAGACTTGAACAAGCAAGAACGGCTCAAATCCGGAATACCCCTTGTAGATGCCGAAATCCAAGCTTTGAACCAGGAGGCTAAGCGTATTGGAGCCGGGTTGCTTCTAACTTCAACGCTGAACGTGGCTCCAAGATCTCGACTCTAGATCCGTACTAAATTCAGCCCACGGTCGAAGCATATTTAGTCGCTAGCCATGCAGAAGGACACAGCACTCAGAAGAAATACCCATGCACCATGTTACTGGGGAGGTCGCTTGACCTTCTCGAACAACATGTACCAATCAAAGGCGTTCTAAATACGGTCTGTCATCGGTGGCAACACTAGTTTCGGCGATCCATCGTATCGGTATTTGAACTTCGGTGTCAGTGGGCGGGGTTCAAGGATGGAAGCGCATTGTCAACGAATTTAACGGTTTTTCATTCGCCAAGTGACTCCGATGCTAAGCACCACAATAGGCATGGCCAAGGAAGCTTTGGCCGGCCAAACCTGCAAACCACCCGCAATGGCGTTCTGGGCATGTAACGTAGCCGTAGATTAGGCTGGCAATTAGTTGCCCAGATTCGAAAATGGTGTGAGTTTCGGTCATCTTCCGGCCTGTGAAGAGCGGAATACCCTTTATCCTAGGCGTTTGAGTCGGGTGGAAACGGATTCGACCCACGACATCTCCAATTATCCACCCTGGAAGGATTTGTAGTCGCAACGGACGTGCGCGAATTGTAGCTCTGTAGCTTAATGTGACTTGAGTTGAACTATTACTCGGCCGGCGAGTGCGAAGGCTATGCGAGCGCTCCGCATTCAATATCTCCGCATGTCTTACCCCACACTTGGAGTTCCCAAAGCTATAAAGCACGTTCGCCCTTCGTCTTTTGGATTGTATCTCACTGCTGCCGTTTATACTGCATCTCCCTTTCCTACACTTTTGAGATCGGCCTCTTCATCACCTTTTCATCATGTGGAATCCATGGAGAGAAAACTTGAAGGACACTCCCAAGGAATCGCTTAACTGGAGGCTATGGTATGGAGTCTTTGTATTTGGCCTCATGGGCGCTGCCCGTGGTATCGATGAGGGCTTGATCGGCACCACAGCTGAGCTGGTCCCTTTCAGGAAGAAGTTTGGCCTCGACGATACGCACATATCGAAACACGACAAGGCTGAACTTTTGTCAAACATCACATCCATGGTCCAAATGGGATCCATCCTAGGATCTATGATCGCCTTCTTCCTGACCGATAAAATCGGCCGCATTTGGGCCACACGTCAGCTGTGCCTCGTCTGGGTCCTTGGTATTTCGATATTTCTGGCATCTGCAGCGAAAGGTAACCTCGGTATGATCTATGCTGGACGCTTCATTGCAGGTATCGGTATAGGTCAGACCACTGTTGTCGCCCCTACGTACCTCGCGGAGACTGCACCAAGGGCCATTCGTGGCCTCTGTGTCTGCGCCTTCTCAGGATCCGTTTACTTGTAAGTATAATATTCACTCAGCAAAAAGATTAGTCTAAGAGTTGTTTATAGGGGTATCATGTTGGCATATTTTGCAAGCTGGGGTTCCAGCATACACATTTCCGCCGCCACAGATGCGCAATGGCTTGTGCCAAATAGCATGCATCTAATGTTTGCTGGCGTCATCTTTACACTCTCTTTATTTGCGAAAGAGAGTCCTCGCTGGCTTATAAAAGTTGGCCGTCATGAAGAGGCACTCGAAAACCTTTCTCTCTTACGCCAATTGCCGTCAAACCACGCATATGTTACCGCTGAGATCGTCGATATCAACGATCAGCTTAATCGGGAGCGTGAAGCCACCATGGGCTCATCTTGGTTGGGACCAATCCGCGAACTTTTTACAAGTAGAGCCAACCT